ATGTTTGTTCTTGGGGCAATGCACTGCGGCTCCCTTTGAGTTTGCGCCGTGCCCGCCGCTGTCGCTGCGCCGCTGACGTTCCCCTGCGGCGCACCCCGTTGTTTGTTGCCGCGTGGAAGCCGAAGCCGCCGCGGGGTTTTTTGCTGCTGGCGGCGCCCACTGTTTTCCCCGTTTTCTCTTGCTGCCTTTTCTTCCTCACTCGCACGCAGAAGGAAAGAGGCCAAACGCTGCTAGCCGCTGTGCGCTTTGAAGGCTCTGCAGTCGCCACAAGCAACACACACACACACACTCACAAACACACACTCAACCGTCGCTGCCTGTCCGGGCCCACCACGAGGAGGGAGGAGAGAGAGAGGGAGCGGCCCAACATGCCCCGGCACCCGTTTTCGTCTGCGGCGCTGCTCCTCCTCTGCGTGCTGCTGATATGCGGCGGCGGTGGGGCTGTGCACGCTGAGGGCCCGCGGCCTGACACGCGCGTGATGTTCGAGGAACACAGGACGAAGGTGCCCTACAAGGTGAAGAGGAACACCACCTACGCGACGGAGGGTGTTGGCTTCTACGCCCCTTCACTGGCGGAGGTGGACGGGCTGGTGGTGGCCGTTGCGCAGGCCGCGCTTGGCTACGGCTCTGGCATCGTCCCTGCGGACGCGGTGGCGCTCACCTTGGAGAGGGACGGGGCGCGGGAGTGGGTGTCGGCGGCGACTGCGGGCGATGAGGTGGCGGTGGGGCAAATTGCCGTCCCCCACACTGGACGGAGAGGCGAGCTGCGGATTGAGCGCCCAACGATGCTCGTCAAGGACAGGAAGCTCTTTATTCTTGCCGGGGCCCTCAACAGCACAAGCGCACGCTCGTCCGCGCCAAATGCGGGGATGCAGTGGGAGCTCCTGCTGACGGTCGGCGCGGTGCAGGAGACGGAGGGCGCGCAGAAGAGGATTGCATGGAAGCCGCCTGTCCCGCTGACGGCCGCGCTGGCGGCGCAGCCCCACGCCAAGACGCTGGACCGCTTCCTTGGCGGCGGCGGTGCGGGGATCGTGATGAAGGACGGCACGCTTGTGTTCCCCGTGCAGGCCCAGACGAAGCATGGGCACACTGCCTCCCTGGTCATCTACTCGAGGGACGATGGCGCCAATTGGAGCGTTTCGAAGCAGGTGTCTGGGAGGGACTGCGGCGACCCCGCCGTTTTTGAGTGGGAGGGAAAGCTCCTCCTCGTGGCTCGCTGTGGCGACGGCAGGCGCGAGGTGTACGAATCCGGTGACTTGGGGGCGAAGTGGCGGCTGGCCGGCGGGCCTCTCTCCGGCCTCTGGAGCAGGTCCGCCACCCGCACCGCGCGCGGCGTTCAAGGCGGCTTCGCCACCGCGACGATTGGCAAGACGCCTGTGCTGCTCTTCACGCTGCCGGTGTCGCTGGAGGGGCACGGGAAGACCGCGCAGCTGCACCTGTGGGTCACCGACCGCAGGAACCTCGTCGACGTCGGGCCCATATCCGACCCCGTTTCCAACGCCGGCTCCAGCGCCCTGCTTTACACGGGCGGCCGGCTGTTCTCCCTGCACGAGAGGGGCCAGAGAAGTTCGACGAGCGTTTTTCTGAAGGACCTTGACGCGGAGCTGCAGCGGGTAAAGTCTGTCGTTGCGGCGTGGGAGAAGTCGGGTGCTCAGCCCTCGAGCTCCCGCCTCTCCTCGTACCTGCGGTACCCCTCGTCAAACCGGACCTGCAGGCCCGCCGGCCACACGGACGGCCTGGTGGGCTTTCTCTCGGACAACGCCACCGATGAGTACTGGGAGAACGACCTGCACCGCGAGGGCGCGGCCGTGACGAAGGCGCTCAAGGCGCCCTGCGGTCTCAGGCTGCAGGGGCACGGTGCGCGGGCGCTGTGGTCGGTGGCCACAACGCCTGAGGCCGCAGAGTACAAGTTCACCAACAACGAATTCACGCTTGTGGCGACTGTGCTGATTCACAATCCGCGGGCTG